GAAGAAGAGTTTGGATTTGATATCCCGCCTGTCACTCCCTTTAAGTAGTCTCAAAGTGGCTAACATTCTCCTTTCCCTTCCTCCCCCACAACAAACACTCTGTGAGGTGAGTGGGGCTGAGAGACTTCAGAGAAGTGTGACTAGCCCAAGGTCACCCAGCAGCTGCATGTGGAGGAGCGGAGACGCGAACCCGGTTCACCAGATTACGAGACTACCGCTCTTAACCACTACACCACACTGGCTCTACCTCAAGGACTGCCACTCCCCATATAAATCAGCCTGGACTTTGTGATCATGCTTTGAGGCCCTTCCTCATGTGCCACCTCCATGAGACATCTGGAGGGTGGCAACATGAGAATGGGCCTTTTCTGCAGCAGCTCTCCATTTGTGGAATGCTCTCCCTGGGGAGGTTCACCTGGTGCCTTCATTATACCAGACTGCTGACTGGTTAATATTCTATAGCCTTTTATATGACCAAGGTTGTTGTTGTTGATTTTGTTGTTTGTTGTTAAAATTTATATACTGTCCTTCAACTGAAGATCTCAGGGTGGCTCACAAGATAGAAATACAGGCTAGAAGCACGAAATAGTGAAAAACAGCACAAAACAATAACTCCGCCTCCCACAAACAACCTTGGTCGTCTCACAAGATTGTGAACTTAAAACCACACACCAGCTGAAATCCTAAAGAAATTCTCAAGTGCCTCGAGAATAAGGCAGAAAAGCAGAAAAACTCTTTTGCAGAGGAAGGGAGGAAAAACCTGAGAATTGGAGGACAAGTTTTGGCACCCTAGGATTGCAATTGTACGTGTTTTGTGGACCAAGGCTGAGAGCCTTTGCTCTGCTTTATGGAATCCCAGGCAACAGTTTGCATTCAGAAGCTGAAGCCTGAAGGGGAGGAATCCCACCACAACGGCAGCTGACCTTGCGTGAATTTCCCTCTTAAGGAAAACCACCATCTTCTGAGACCTCGTGGACACCTTCAGTGCAAAGTGGGGTGGACTGTGCCTTTGGCCATGAGGTGCACTGCTCATTATTCAAGGAGGTGGTAGGAGGCAGAGAGACACACGCTCCTCCTGCCTGTGCTGCATCCCAGAAAGCAGACAGCTTGCTGCAATTCTGAGCACATCAGGGCCAGGCAGCAGCGACAGCAAGGGCAGAAATTAAAATTCGTTCATCAACATTAATCACAAGACTGCAGTAATAAGAGGCACTATCCGGGCCCAGTCTGTGGGGAGAGGCAGCATACAAATGTCACCCAGCTATGAAGCCCATCTCTCCCTGTGGGTTTCCCTGTTCAAGCTGAGGAGGCTCTGGGTGCGCTTATGAGAAAGAAAGTATGGTAAAGCTTCTGTGCATGCCAGTGTATCCAAATATGCTTGCTCAGGTATGCTGTTTTATGCAACTGTGAATTTGCAGGAGAGTCTGTATTTATTTACTCTTAGTGGCTTTGATCGTAGTCCCATGGATGGTTTACAAACCGGATAAAACAATTAAGATGCAATTACAAGGTAATAAATGTAAAATGGTTGGCAGGTTTAAAAGTGCATCTAATAAGACTGGCAATATATAAAAGGTCTTTGCCTGGCATCAGTAGAACCATAAAGTGGGTGTCAGGCTAACCTTTCTGGGGAGAACTGGGGTGCCACCACTGGGAAGGACCCCTCTCTGGCATCTTAGATGGTGGAGGCACGCATAGGAGATCTGCCCCTGAAGATCTTACATGGACAGTTAGGTACATATTTAGCCTAAAGTGCTAATAAATCTGACGCCAGTTGTGAATCTGTGCCTGTCAAGAGACTGGAGAATAACAATTTCCAGTGAAATATCACTCAAAACTTTACTCTGGCTGTATTTGCCTCTTTTTGAGTTTGCCTTCAGGCATGAACAAAATCCAATGGTTAAAAAAAGAAAAGATAAGATAAATGTCAAAATATTACAGTGTATTAATGACAGGATGAATGCTCATTTAATTAGGGAACAGCAGCTGCAACATTTAATTCTCTGGACCAATTGGCCAATCAGTGCGAAGCAAAAAAGCCTGAATTTCATGTGTACTGGGATCAAAGCAGAAGCTGAGGATGCTGCAAACTGTGGACAAACCAGTAAAAAACAAATTAATTGGGGAACCTGACTTTTTATCTTTTTTCCTCACAGCTCCAGTGGGTATATCTACACTACAGAATTGTCTGTCAGCAATCCCCATCTCCTAACACACAGGACTACAGCTCCCAAGGTTCCTTAGGGAAAAGACAGCCTACTACATCCAAATAAACACGGTACATGCAACTGCAGCAAAATGCCATCAGTTGACATGGGGAGAATGATATCCAAGCCAGGAATTTGTATGTTGGGCTGTGCAAATCTAGGAAATAGGAAAGAACAAAGTGAAGCGAAGCCAGAGCAGTTTGCAGGAAAGGGATAACTGCAGCTGTTAAGACGGCTCCATCTGCACCTTGGAAGCTGCCCTGTGTCGTGTGGGGAGGCTGCCCAGAGTAGGAAAGACTTCCCACCTGAGGACAGATGTCCAGTGGTCTTGGGGGTGCTGGTTGGCTGCCAGCTTGACCGGAAGCAACTTAGTGGCCCTCGGTTACCAGATTCTGCCACCGACAACTCCCAACAAGATGTCACTGAGAAAGAATCTGCACCCCTTCAGGAATCCCAGACCTGTGGCAGCTCAGGTATCCTGCAGTTCCCAGAGAACACAATTTCTAAAGGGCATAGGAAGGGCCCTTGGAGAGAAAATACAATGCTTTGCTGGTTTCTAGGACACCAGTCATTAAGCTGATTAAGATATGTGTTGGGTATCCCATTGCTTAACTCAAACCACTGAGGGCCAGAAACCGATTTATAGTTAAAAGTAAAATTCTAACTGGACCATAAAGAAGGCTGATCGCCAAAGAATTGATGCTTTTGAATTATGGTGCTGGAGGAGACTCTTGAGAGTCCCATGGACTGCAAGAAGATCAAACCTATCCATTCTGAAGGAAATCAGCCCTGAGTGCTCACTGGAAGGACAGATCCTGAAGCTGAGGCTCCAATACATTGGCCACCTCATGAGAAGAGAAGACTCCCTGGAAAAGACCCTGATGTTGGGAAAGATGGAGGGCACAAGGAGAAGGGGACGACAGAGGATGAGATGGTTGGACAGTGTTCTCAAAGCTATGAACATGAGTCTGACCAAACTGTGGGAGGCAGTGGAAGACAGGAGTGCCTGGAGTGCTCTGGTCCATGGGGTCATGAAGAGTCGGACACGACTAAATGACTAAACAACAACAAAATTCTAACCTGGCAATATGTGAACCAGTGCACAATTGTGTCTTGTGGGTGTTTCACGTTACCTACCTCTGGAATGGCGCCTGTGTTGACCATATCATCTACATTGAGCACTTGAAAATCCTAAATGGAACAAGGAGCTCAAGACCAGATCTGTTCGTGTCTTTCCTCTATTTATTCCTGTCTCTTTCAATTTAGAACAGATACTAGCTGTTGGCCCGAATTCAGCCCTAATATTTGCCAATTATTTTAAGAGACGGCGACACTAACTTCTATTGATCTCATTAAAAGTAAAGGTCGTGAGGTAGCTCATTTCTCAGGGCTCAATATTACCTCCTCAGGCCAAAAGAATAGCATTGATTTTGGAACTTTAATCGAAGGTTAATAGGATTAGCAAGCATGGTTAAAAAAACGAACACCCTGCCATTGCAGGTCCCCAGTCACATTGGTGTGAAATTAGCCAAGGTGGTGTGACATCTAGGGGCCCTGACACAACTTGCTTGCTCATCTGCAATATCCCTTGTTCATGGAACCACATAGAAAGCACCATCAGAAAACAGGACAGTAGATCAATGCACAGAAAGAACAATATTTTGGTAAGGAATTATGGAGGTAGATTTGCACTGCAGTTGCAAAGTTAGTTTGGCTAAGGCAAAGAAGCAATGTGTACAACTAGGCAACTGGCCCCACAACGCTGGTTCATCAGTGATGGGGAGAAAGGCCCGTTTTTTAAAAAAAACAATCAGAGAACCAGCATTTTCAACTTGGTCTATACTTGTAACCAAATGATGTGGAAGAACGAATTGTTCAACTTCAGATTGCAGGAGGGGAAGGTGCCATTTTACCTCAGGTAAAATGAACTCCAAGTCAAATTAAACCTTTCTCCCTGGTGTGATACTTATCTAGGAAAGCGTAAAAAACAAACAAACCAGTCTTTGATATCTAATTTACAGCACATGTCATAATCCAGTCCACTACCTCATATCAGATCTGTACTACCACATCATGCTGCAGATTGAGACTTTGATTCTCAAGGCAGGAGTTGAGTTCCACACTCTCAACATGTGCCTCCTAAAGTATCATTATGCTATGGGTCAAAGCAGTGGTTCCATTTTCACATCATTCTGTTCTACAGTCTCTGGCCAACTTAGGCCTGTCTTTTGGCATGCTGCAACAGTGATTCACCAGTACCACTTGGACTGCCTAGATCACCCCACTTGAGATGGCATATGACAAGAAAGAATATACTGATGGTAAAGGGAGTGGCAGTAGGATTTCCTAGCTTTGAATGTGGTCCAGTTTGCTTTCAGGTCTGTGGGCAAACTCTGCTTCTTCAGTGCTCCCAGTTCCTAACTGCAGAGTTAGAAGAGGTTCAGAAAAGGGCCACCAAAATGATCAAGGGGATGGAGTGACTCCCCTATGGAGAATGGTTGCAGCATTTGGGGTGTGGATAAGCCCTTGCTTGCCTTTTTCTAAACAAAAAAGGCAAGTTTGGAGTTATCCACACTTCCATTTGCCCTGTCACTTTCCCCTGTGAACACCCACCAAGCCAAGTTGGATCAAACAGCAATCAGGTCTTCCATGGATTGCTGTTTGTTCTGATTTAGCGCTAAAGAGCAGGTTTTCCAGGGGGGCAAAGCGGTGGGTCGAAGGCAAAACTGCTCAGCCCTGTGCTTTTCAGGCACAGGACAAGCAGAAGTGTGAATGAGCCCTTAGAGGTGACCAAGGCAGTTTCAGTCTTTCTCTATCTACTTTCCCCATGCCTTGTATCATTTTTATTTTTTTTTATAAACGTCTATCATGATACAAGGCATGGGGAAAGTAGATAGAGAAAGACTGAAACTGCCTTGGTCGCACTGGTTGATGATCTCCGGCGGGCTAGGGACAAAGGTGAGAGCTGTTTCCTAGTTCTGCTGGATCTCTCAGCGGCGTTTGATACCATCGACCATAACATCCTTCTGGACCGTCTTGAGGGGCTGGGAGCTGGGGGCACTGTCATACAGTGGTTCCGCTCCTTCCTCCTGGGCCGTGTTCAGAAAGTGGTGGTAGGGGATGAGTGTTCAGACCCCTGGGCTCTCACTTGTGGGGTGCCTCAGGGTTCTGTCTTCTCCCCCATGCTTTTCAACATTTACATGCAGCCACTGGGAGAGATCATCAGGGGTTTTGGGCTGGGTGTTCATCAGTATGCGGATGATACCCAGCTCTACCTCTCTTTCAAATCAGAACCAGTGAAGGCGGTGACGGTCCTGTGTGAGTGTCTGGAGGCGATTGGAGGATGGATGGTGGCTAACAGATTGAGATTGAATCCTGACAAGACAGAAGTACTGTTTCTGGGGGACAGGAGGTGGGCAGGTGTGGAGGATTCCCTGGTCCTGAATGGGGTAACTGTGCCCCTGAAGGACCAGGTGCACAGCCTGGGAGTCATTTTGGACTCACAGCTGTCCATGGAGGCACAGGCTAAATCCGTGTCCAGGGCAGCTGTGTACCAGCTCCATCTGGTACGCAGGCTGAGACCCTATCTGCCTGCGGACTGCCTCGCCAGAGTGGTGCATGCTCTGGTTATCTCCCGCTTGGACTACTGCAATGCGCTCTACACCTTTGAAGGTGACCCGGAAACTACAACTAATCCAGAACGCGGCAGCTAGACTGGTGACTGGGAGCGGCCGCCGAGACCATATAACACCGGTCTTGAAAGACCTACATTGGCTCCCAGTACGTTTCCGAGCACAATTCAAAGTGTTGGTGCTGACCTTTAAAGCCCTAAACGGCCTCGGTCCAGTATACCTGAAGGAGCGTCTCCACCCCCATCGTTCTACCCGGACACTGAGGTCCAGCACCGAGGGCCTTCTGGCGGTTCCCTCACTGCGAGAAGCCAAGTTACAGGGAACCAGGCAGAGGGCCTTCTCGGTAGTGGCACCCTCCGTGTGGAATGCCCTCCCACCAGATGTCAAAGAGAACAACAACTACCAGACTTTTAGAAGACATCTGAAGGCAGCCCTGTTTAGGGATGCTTTTAATGTTTGATGTATCACAGTATTTTAATATTCTTTTGGAAGCCGCCCAGAGTGGCTGGGGAGGCCCAGCCAGATGGGTGGGGTATAAATAATAAATTTTTATTATTATTATTATTATTATTATTATTATTATTATTATTTTCTCCATATCTCATAATACTAAAATTTGTAGGCATCCAATGAAGTCAAATGTTGGAAGGTTTAGGACAGATTATGCAGAGCATAATCAAATGATGGAACTCACTCTCCCAGGAATGATGGCCAACTTAGATGGGTTTAAAAGAGGATTAGACAGATTCATGGAGGAGAGGGCTATTGATGGCTACTAGCCATGATAGCTATGCTCTGCCTTAACAGCTGGAGGCAGCAATGCTTTTAAATACCAGTTGCTGGAAACCACAGGAGGGGAGAGAGCTTTTGTGCTCAGGTTTCCCACAGGCATCTGGCTGGCCACTATAAGAACAGGATGCTGGAACAGATGGGCCTTTGGCCTGATACAGCAAGCTATTGTTATGTTGTTAGCTGGTAGAATCTTATAAGCCAGTTCCAGAATCTTGCCATTTCCTGACAAAGTCCACTGGTGTTTGAAGGGGTGCTTTGAGATCTTGAGAAAAGGAGGCTTAAGGAAGGACAAAAGGCTGTTGACTGTTTATTTACAGAGGGAACAAAAGGGCTTCAAAACTGCTGTGAAAAGCTTGAATTCACAGTCGTCATGCAGGAGGGGAAGAGAATAGTTGCGATACAGAGCACATATACCTATGGTGATGCACTTACATTTTTATTACTTGAATCAGAATTTTTGCTTGACATGAACCATCTCTCTAACACATCACAGAACATAAAATATTATTTCTGTGTTTCTGGGGTGGTAGCAGAAAATTACATGTACTGACAAAACCCTGTTTACTTGGTCCTCCATTTTCCTCAAGCAAGGCCAGCATCTAATTCCCACCAAGCCTCCAAATCCATAGATCAATTATTGAGCCTGTCTTGCAGAAATCTGGGGGAAATCTGGGTTGTCAGTTAACACCAAGGTCGCCATCTCCCACTGATCTCAGGAGGCATCAAGCATCCCCTCACTTCTCAACAAGTAACACAAGAGTTACCTGCCGAATGTGACTTGGGTTCTGACTGGTGACTGCAATGGCAGCTGTCACTCAAACCAACGTGGGTGAGAGAGTCCTTAAAAGTGAACTGTGGGACGTGAGCCTTTGTCCTTGTCCCTCAGATCAGGGGCCACTGGTCTCGCTGCTAGCCTCTGGGTCCCCTATTTATCACTGACCATCAGGAAATGTGCAGCTCATTGTCCTTGCTGCTTTACTCTTAGGGAGTAAAGAGTCCAGAATGTTGTGTTGTAAATAAACAGCTTGCGATCAATCAGATTTGAGACACAGAGCTCCTTTTGCTTCAGAATTTTGTTTTGTCCACTCACATCCTCCTTTCTCTTTTATTCTTAATAAAACTGCATGTGAATTTGTTTAATGGGGTCTCTTAAAGTATTCAATGCAGTTTTTTGTTTTTTAAACTGCATTGAATACTTTAAGAAATACTTAAATACTTTTATCGGTGGTTGCAAAAACCAATGATCCCTATTATTCTGAACAAAATGCTTGTTTAACTTGGAGGTAGGCTGTATGAATTGTGTATTGCTTTGTAACAATTTGTTGGGTCTCTGGACCGTAATAAAGATTGTTGTGGTTGTTTTTTGTTTTTTTTAAGGTTATTGCTGTTATCAGTGTGTCTTGCCTCGTGGGAACTCATCTACACTTCATCATCATCATCATCATCACTTTTGAGGGCAGGTTTCATCTCAGTTCTATTGTCATTGCTCTATTTCACACCCCCAACCTGGCTGAATGTGTCCTTGAACTCTGCAAACGCCTGTTGCTTGCCTGGATGGAGGACCCAGAAAGAAGCTAGCCTAGTGTACTAAGGCAACGTTAAAATTTATTGCTCTGCCCACCAGCAGCATGTGGCCCTTGGTAGGTCGTCCAGAGGGAAATATTGCCCTTGGTCTGCAAATTTCCCCCCACCTGCTGCGTTCATGTATCTCCTTTCTTGGGACGTAATATGACCACTACAGCTGAGTTCATGCACTCTGCAACTACAAAGCCCTTGCAGCTCTGTAACATCGTTTTTGTGATGGAGCCTGAGGAATTATATGCAAAAATATCCTTCTAGCCCCTGGACCACAGGGGCTGGAGATCAGAGTGAGAATACTTGGCTACTCTCTGATCTTAATACATTCAATCAGCTGTCATGCGCTTGACTCTATATTATGCAACGCTATCCGGCTGCCTGATCCAGGGAAAGCCCCTTTGCCTAAAGATCTCCGTTCCCAAACACACGTCCCTGCTCCTTCCCTTTGCCTTGCCCTCTACATTCATGATGCGTCTTCTCGAGCTCTTTCCCCGCCTTTCCTTAGTCCTCCAGCTATGTTCTCATTCTAGGCCGCACTCGCACATGAATAAGTAACTGTTCCACAGGCAGATATCTCAGTGTTTGCACTTGTCTTTAGAAATCAAAGGCTTCTCTGATTAAATGCCATTACAGTCCGGCACTCGGATGGATCCAGGGAGATTAATGTGCTTTTGGGCAGCTTTAATGATAATCCCGCTACAGACGGCATTAAGTAAATGTCAGTAACCTGGTTTGAAGGGAGCTTTCACCTCAGGGATCCTTTCCATTTAGAGGAGAGAGGCTCAGCCTGCTTTTTTCAAGGATGTGTTGCTCTACAAAAGAAAGCCTGCTTAGCACAGATTCCTCTGAGCCCCTCCCAGCAAAAAAAAATGGCAAGGCTTCTTTCAGGGGAAAGTGAGGTGGCATGCTTGCCATTGTGGGTCCACAGAGAGACTGCAGATCAATGCTAGAACATAGAGGAGGCTCCGTGTTTAATCCCCAGCACACTCAGTGTCTGTTTTTGTTCTTTAAAAAAAGAGAACAAAATAGCACTCAGCAGGGCTGAGAAAGACTTAAGAGACTAACTGCAAGGCAGAGTAGGCATTGCTGGGTGGAAGGGACAATGTTCTGAGCCAGTAAAAGGGACTTTCATATATTTATATGAGGTAACAAAGCTGAGAAAAACTGAGATCTTTGAAAGCAATATGAAATTGCTTTACACAGAGACGAGCCCAGCATAACCCACTCTGATTGGCAGCAGCTCTTCAAGACCCCAGGAAGAGTTTTTCCCCAGGCTTTTTTCCTCGATACACTTAAAGCCTTTGATTGCTTAGAATGGAAATACTTAATAGCAGTATTAACCAGTATGAATTTTGATCCCTCTGTACTACAAACCCTCAAACAAATTTACTCCCAAGCCTCAGCTAAATGCAGAATCAACAATATGGACTCCACCACCATCACAATCCAAAAAGGCACAAAACAAGGATGCCCACTGTCTCCCTTTCTATTCATCCTGGCCCTGGAAGCCTTAGCAATTTGACTACGGGCAGCCCCTAATATTAAGGGTGTGGAATTGAAATTGAAACAAATAAATTAGGGCTCTTTGCAGACAACCTGATGATCACGACACCAGACCCCATTATAAAAGCAACCACACTGATCAAAGAACTCAGTACTTTTGCAATGGTATCAGGCCTTCAGGTGAACTTTGCTAGATCTGAGGCAATGTGCTTCAACACTCCCTCTCATATTCAAAAAGGATTCACTAACATCACAAAGATAAAACTCTGCCATACAAAATTAAGATACTTGGGGGTACAAATAACCAGTAGCCTTAACAAATTATACCTCCAAAATTGCAAGCCTCTCCAGCGACAAAGCAACAAAGACCTGAGAAGATGGAATAAATCTAACTTTACTCTCTCAGATAAA